GTAGTGTCACTTGAGCTTACTGTTTAGTATCAGGAAGTGATGTATTCTGGTATATATGTGTTCGTTTATGAATGTTCCTGTTATTCTCTTTTCATTTTTCTGTCTGTGTTTGCTTTAGTGCGTCTAGGAGTTCCGTGGTTCTTAAAACTATGGGAGGAAGGGATTCTGTAGTGGTAAAAGCAAACTGAATATAATCAGAAATCAGAATAGGATCAGAATATAGTTAATAGTTATTAGCATAGTTGATAGGTAAATGTTAGTTAATGTACAATATATAGTATGGTCAGAATGAACTCTCTGCTCCTTTGTACGGGTCTCTGCAAGAACATTGGGCGTCAGACTTGCTGTTTTTCAGTACAGGGTGCAGGGGGTTTCTAAAAATAAGAGAAGTGCAACCAGGGTGGGGGCCCGGTTGGACGTCAAGATGGACAATTGTAGGAAGTTGGGAAATGGCCATATAGTTAGCTGCAGAGCTGATCAGGCGGGTGTGTGTGTAAAGACCGGAGGAGAAGACTAGACTTGCTGACTGATAACCTGACTCTCTGCAGAGGCCCAAAACCTGACAGGTGATCCTGTTTCTTGCCCTCTCAATCATTGTCATACAATATTGTTCAATAAATGACGATTGGCACTGCAGTGATTCTCCCTGTGAATTGATTTTCGCCACATAAACCTCTATGAATTATCCAAGCATTTCCTGTGTACCCCATCCTCATCTATGCCATGTGAACGGGTTTTTTTCCAAGACTGGGGAAATAATAATAATAATAAAGCTTTATTTATATAGCACTTTACAACTCCGGGGAGCACAAAGTGCTGCACAATAGAACATGTATATCAACTAAAAAACAATACTAGAACAATAAAACCTAAGCAACAATAAAACACAAATTTCCAAAATTGGAGCAATAAAAACCTCCATCAAGATACAAATAGCATAAAACAAAAAGTTAAAAGATGCCCCTTCGGGGCAAATAAAACGGATTAAACACCAAAGGCCTGTTTAAAAAGGCGAGTTTTTAACGTTGACTT